TACATATATATTAGAATTTTTAACTATGTGGATATGCATAACTTATAAAAATATAGAATGTATAAGATAAAGGCAGGGTGGGGGAACACCCTACCACTAGAAAGAAGCACAGCTATAAGGCACCACATTTTGGTGGTGGCCATGGCTCTGTTGCAGTCTACTGCATTGCCCACCAACTTGCAGTGTTCTTGGGCTAAGGTCCTGTCTGAAAATGCCACGAGATTCCATTGCTGGCAATTCTTGCAGTATGTTGACTCAGGAGTTGTGACTTCTCAGTTCCGGATCTTACAACTCAGCCAAGTTGTGTTAAGAAAGCATTTCCAGCTGTTTCACAGCCGTGCTGGGACCTGGAGTCATTAATCTCATCTTCCCACTGGCACAGATCTTGGGACCTCAAGCTCTCAAAGGACAGGAGAGTCAGCAGATCCTGTAATCCTCCAGTGGAAACTTGCTTGTTTGTGTCTTCTATACATGGTATAAAAGGATGGTAATCAGATATATTGGAAAGAATGATCCAATGTTAGTGTGTTCCCCCACCCTGCCTTTATCTTATACATTCTATATTTTTATAAGTTATGCGTAACTTCCTTGGGAGTGTCTTAACACAATTTGGAAATCACATATATAAACTGTTTCTATTACCCCCAAAAAATGCCTGTCTAACATCTCTGATTTTTTTTACTCCCAGTATTTTGATTTTCCTTCATGGGGCCACCCCTCACCCACTCTTTTTACATGTTGTTTGAGTGGCACTGATTCCAGTCTTGGGCTCCAGGGGTAAGAAAAGTAACCGAGGCCTAGCAGATCAGTGCCACAGTGACTGGTTAAGTAAGGGATTATCACATGACCCAAGCTGGGCCAGTGAGTCGGCCTTGGGACTCCTGCTGGAATTACTCTGCTTCTTCCATGCTTACTAAGCTGGTAGATATCAACCTGGGGCTTTCAGTGCGCATCTTTGCTGCAACATAGGTGAGACCCCTGAAAAAGAAGCTGACACAGAGGGGACAGAGAAAGACATACAAAGTGGCATCATCGGAGTCCCTGGATCCAGCCTTGCCTGAAGTCATTTGCTGATACATGGACTTCCTGATACATGAGCCAATAAACCCCTTTTTCTGGCTTAAATCTGACTGAACTGGGTTTCTGTGACTTGCAGTTAAGAACCCTGACTGATGCATTATGGTAAAGCATCATCCAAATGAAATGGCTCAAAAGTTTCCTTCTAAAACAAAAGGTCTCAGGTACTTTAGAGTATACTGTGTTAGGAACCCAAAAAGTACCTGATGTATACAGCAGACCTGCATTCAAATTCTAGCTTTGTGACTTTAAAATTACTTAACATTTCTTAGCCTCAATTTCTTCATCTATAAAGTAAGGGTTGTTGTTTAGATTAAATGGAATAATCCATGTATCATACAGTTAGTTCTTACTATTATTCTTGTCAGCCTTTGTTTGGTAGAGACTCAAGTTCAGAGAGGTAGCTTGCAAAAGGTCACACACTAGACAGTGGCAGAGTTCAGGCCTGAATCCAGGAATCCTCACTCCCTGACCAGGGTTCTTTCTATACAATTCATTTCTAAAGAAAGAGGTCCATAGGACAATTCAAGGTGAAGAGAAACAAGAGCCTGCAAGAGCAAGCCCAGGGTAGACCTGCCTTGTGCAGTGGTTAAGAGTGCAGACTTTAATGTACTCAGCAAGAGTTCAAATCCTGACTCCAGTACTTACAAACCATGTGACTATGGATATGTGATTTTTCACTCTGTAAAACGGAGATGACAGGATCTATTTTACAGGGCTTTAATAAAATGATACTTATCTTAGAAATGACTATAGTATCTTACTACACTGATGGATAGTGATTGCAATGAGGGGTGGGGTCCGGTGGACTTGATAATATGGGTGAATGTTGAAACCACAATGTTGCTCATGTGAAACCTTCATAAGATTTGTACATCAATGACACCTTAATAAAAAAAAATTGAGAGTACCTAATCCAGGATGCTTTAACAGAAGTAACTGAAAATTCTATTTAAACTGGCTTAATTAATAAAGGAAATTTGTTGTCTCATGTGATGAAAAAAAATGATTCTGATCTTGCTTCCACCCTCATGTCCCCCTCATGTCTAGTGTATACACAGCAGCCAGACGGATGCCCATTTTATTGGCAGTAAAAGCCAAAAATCTTTACAATGGCCTACCAGGTTCCTGAATTTCTGCAAGATCAGGTTTAGAGAAAGGCCTCTTCAGGCTACCTTCTTCCTGGGTGAGAAGGGACAGGGTTGGGTTTCCAGCGATGCAAGGGAGGAAATGCTCATTAAATCACCTGCCGCAGGGTCTGTAAGTGACCTTTTGTGGTCACACCACAGGTCACGTACCAAACACGTGCTGGTCTCACATTGAGGCTCAATTCACCAGCATGGCTGAAACCCCAATCAGCCAAAACCAAATTCCCTTAGTGACTTGACCTTGCCCGAGTCCAGTGAAGCCTGGGCGGATGCAAATCACAAAAGAAAAAGGATCCTTTCCTCTAGAAAGTCCCAGAGATTATGGCTTTGGGGACATGGGGAATTCCAAAGATCTTTCAAATTCTCTAGGGTTTTAGAATTAGGTTTCCTCTTTCCTCCCTTCATTTGAAAAGGGAAGGAGAGACAAATATAGACATACACCACTCTAAGAAAGACTGAATCAGATACAAACATAAAACCCACAAATCCCAGATTCTGAGGCAGATATAAGAAAATTAAGATACACAAGAATTTTCTGGTAGAAAAAAAATCTTTCCCGTTGTTAACCTTTTTAGTTCCAATCTGCCCATCTGCCTACCTGTGGTGACCTCCTTGTTCCCCAACAAATGTCTCATCTGAAAGACTGTGCAACACATACACAATGACAATGCATACCCTATTTAGCATATGCATGTTTCCAGAGACTCATCTCAGGAGTTCAGAGCTCTCACATTTCTTATGGGAGGAGGGGACTGCAAAGACAGACATCCCAATTAACCACTTAGAGAATGATGTTCCAGTCCTGACTTTGGCACTAAATACCGGTGTGACCCCAGCTTAGTCAATGGCCATTCCCAAGCACAAGTTTCCTCACCTAAGAATTGAAGATGTAGACAGTATTCTTGCTCCACTCTATGACCTTGACCTTCAGGAGACTCTGGGACCTTCCATCATCCCTGGCCTCTGACCCAGCAGCTGCCCACCAAAGCCTGAGGCCCACAGGGTCCTTCTTCCCCAAAGCAGGACCCAGGCACTCCAGTTCCCCCTCTGCTAAAGAACCAAGCAGAGGACATCAATTTCCACCCAGCCAGCCCTTCTGCAACTCTTGCTTGCTGTGCACCAGGGAACAAAATGCAAGATTAATTCCCAATTCCTGTCTGTTTTGTCCCTCACACACCTGAGCCCCAGAGACACCAAGTAAGAACACAACAAATCAAGCATCTCTGCAACCTCTGTCTGCGAAGACTAGCTATCTAATTACTGTTAATTGCATTAATTGCATAGCTCTGAAGTGTTAGGACTCCTCCTCTCCTCCTAATCTGAGGCAGGGCAAGGCAAAGGAATTATGAACAACAAAAGCACCACAAAACTCTTCTCTTCTCCCACTCCTGAACCTAATACCCCTTTTGTGGCTCCATGGCTGGACATGGCCCATAAAAGAACCCAGTGGGACAAAGTATTAAGAAGTGGCTGAGCCTTCTCAATGGGAGTGGAACCAGAAGGGTCCCCTGGGAACTGAGGCAGGGGGGACCCACACCCTGGGCCTGAAGGAGAGGGCACCAACCAACACACGCTGGACAGGCCAAAAGAGGCACACTAGTACTGGTTACCTCATCCTCTGCTCATGCCTGTAACAGCACCCCACTTCCTGATCAGCCTTCTCCCCAGCACCCATCTCTCTATTCACCCAGACCTACTGCTTCATGTCTAGACAGATCCATCACAGACACCCTTGGCAATCTCCTCTGCCCTCCTCTGGACCCTACAGGAGGCCAACCAACTGCAGTCAAGAGCTATGTAGACAGGGACAATGTCGCAGCTCCAGCTGAGAATATGAGGGAGTGGGGGTGAGGGTGTGGGGTGTGATTTCAGGCAAACAGAGGCCTACTCTGGAGAAAACAGCTGGTAGCTGGTGAGGGAACAGCCTCATCTCCAAAAACGATCCAGGAGTTCCTCCTGGCCAACCCCAAGGTCCCTGAGGCACTTATTGTCACCAGAGAAGGTGGCTGAGGCCTCTTTGAACCTCATATGAGGAACAGCTCCTCCTGAGGACTCCTCCAGGGCAATACCATTCTCTCAGGGGCCTCTCCTACACCCACTCTCACCCCACCCCACGTAAGGCTTTGGGCCAGATGGGCGAGGGCTGGGAGCAGCCTCTATCACTGAGGGAGGCAACCCAGCTGTCAGAACTGACAGATGTCATCCACAACGCCAGACTCAGCCTGCAGCAGCGCCAGAGGCTGGCACAGATACCAGGGCTCCAAAGACAGAAAACAGGGGTCCCCAATCCCTAAGCAAAGCCTGCGGGTAGAAGGTGAACGTCTCCCAAGCACACCTGCCAAAACGGATCTACAAGAAGAGAGGGCTGCCCCGCCAGAGTAGCGGGAAACTCGGGGGCTTGGCGGGGTATAGGAGACCCTGCGGAGGTGGGGCTAGGCTGTTCTCTTTGAGTTCCAGCACATACCTGTCCCCCAGGCCTTCCCCACATGGACACACTTGAAACTTCCCCTCAGAGACCACAGACCAACTTTCTGCAGCGAAGGAGATGCGCGGAGTAAAGGTGGCGGAATGGTGGGCTCCGACCCGGCGCCCCAAGTGGATGTAGAGCTGAAGTGCGGGGAGATGGAGGGGCTGGCCCAAGGGTACCCCCAGCCCCCCGGGTCTAACCAGGGGTACCCCTAGGCCCTGAGGGTCCCACCGCCAGAGCCGGGGAAGCAGGAAAGGGAAGGCATTGCACCTCAGGTAGAGTTGCACGACCAGGTGGCCCGGCCCTACCTGCAGTTCCTGAAATTCTCCTTCCAGCTCGTGCCACTCGCGCTCGCAACGCTCCAGCTGGCCGGACATGGTGCGGCGGCGCGAGGGGGCGGCGGCTCCCGCAGCCCCGCGCGGCGGTCGCCTACAGTCCAAGCGCGTTCGCTTGCCGGCCGCCTTCCGAGCCACCAGCTGTTCCTGCGCAGCCGGAGCCACGCGCGCACCTGACGTCACAGCCCCGCCCATCGCCAGGGGGTGGGTCTCGCTCTTGCGCACGCGCCTCCCCGGCTCCGCTCCCGCTGCGCTGGCCGGGGCCGTGGGGGAGGGAGAAGTCTGCCGGAGTTTTGCAGGTTTCGGCAGTCTGTCGCTGCCCTCGTGAGAGTGCTTTTGCGCCTCCAGACTCTCTCTCCCAGTTGGGGTTGACTGTAAACTGCATTTGCAGAACTTATTTTACTTAGACTGTGTTTATTTGGGGTGCCTAGGATCAGGAGGGAGAAAGATTTGGGGAAGGTGGAAGCTCACCACCCCGTGGCATTGCCTGACCTGAGCCAAAGCCAAGGGCCTGGAATGCTAGAACTGACATTGGCAGTCGAGCAAGGTCGCGGGGCAGGGCGGGGAAGCGCGGGGAGGGCCCTATCATCTCACATGGTCATTACCTACTGCAACTAATACATCCTAGTTTCCTGCCCTCTAAGACTCTCGGTGACTCTTAACAGCTGTTTCTGTCACTCGAATGACACAGTCCTCAAAGTGAATTGAATCCAAATTCCTTCCCCTCCCCTGCATGGTCCTTCTACAAGATCCATCCCCGCCTAGCTTTCCAGTCCCTACTAATCTTACCACACCCCGTCCCGCCCCGGGTTGTTACTCTTCGGCCACCGTTTTTTCCTCTTTCTGACCTTACTAGAACATTGTTCCTATGGTTGACTTTTTCTCATCATTCAAGCCTTAGTTCATATGACACCTGTTAGTTTCCTAGCACTGCCTTAACCACAAACTGGGTTGCTTAAACAGTAGAAATGCATTCTCTATGGTTCCCGAGGCCAGCTAGCCCTGACAAATCAGGGTCAGCAGGGCTGTGCCCCCTGATAACTCTGGGTAGAATCTTTCCTTGCTTCTTCATAGGGTGGCTATCCATCCTTGTCGTTCCTCAGCTTGAAGCTTCATCCCTTCAATTTCTGCTTCTGCTGTCACATGGCCTTCCTCCCTGTGTGGCTATTTGTGTCCTCTCCTCTTACAAGGACCCCAATCTAATGGACTTAGGGCCCACTTTACTCCAGCACGACCTCATCTCAACTACACCTGCAAAGACCCTATTTCCATATAAGGTCACATTATGAGGTAGTGGGTATTAGAACTACAACATACCTTTCCCAGGGACACAATCCAACCTGTAATACCACCTCTGAATAGACTTTTCCTGAATACCCGGAGGTTCAAACCTCCTCCTGGTCACTTATATATCACCTGTTTTGTTTCCTTCATACAAGCTACCATTATATGAACATGTTTGTCTCCATGTTGGTTGTACGTTTCCCTCCATGGGCATAGTCTCCATGAGGTCTCAGGGATCTTGTCTCTGTCTTGGTTGTCATCCCCAGAGCTTGGCAGAGAGTAGGCCCTCAAAAACATATGTGTACTCCTGAATATAAGCATGAGCAACTTCTTCCTGAACATATCTCCTCGAGCAAGGGAAACAAAAGCAAAAATGAACTCATGGGACTACATCAAACTAAAAAGTTTCTGTACGGCAAAGGACACCATCAACAGAACAAAAAGGCATCCTACAGTAAGGGAGAATATATTTGTAAATGACATATCCAACAAGGGGTTAACATCCAAAATATATAAAGAACTTACATACCTCAACACCCACAAAGCAAATAACCTGATTAACAAAAGGGCAGAGGATATGAAGAGACAGTTCTCCAAAGAAATTTAGATGACCAACAGGCACATGAAAATATGCTCCACATCACTAATCATCTGGGAAATGCAAATTAAAACCACAATGAGATATCACCTCACACCAGTAAGGATGGCCAGCATAGAAAAGACTAAGAACAACAAATGCTGGCAAAGATGCAGAGAAAGGGGAGCCCTCCTACACTGCTAGTGGGATTGTAAGCTAGTTCAACCACTGTGGAAAGCAATATGGAGGTTCCTCAAAAAACTAAAAATAGNAACAAAATAGCAGCAGACTCAGAGACTCCAAGAAGGAACTAGTGGTTACCAAAGGGGAGGGATGTGGGAGGGCAGGTGGGGAGGGAGGGAGAAGGGGATTGAGGGGTATTATGTTTAGTACACATGGTGTGGGGGATCACGGGGAAAGTAGTGTAGCACAGAGAAGGCAAATAGTGAATCTGTGGCATCTTACTACACTGATGGACAGTGCCTGCATTGGGGTATGGGTGGGGACTTGATAATATAGGTAAATGTAGTAACCACATTGTTTTTTCATGTGAAACCTTCATAAGAGTGTATATCAATCATACCTTAATAAACAATTTAAAAAAAAGATTATCTACTGCAGAGGTTCTCAACTTGGGGAGTTCATAGACCCCTCTGAGAACTCTGAATGGGGAATATGCACATAAGCACACAGAGAAATAGTTCCAATTCTTAACTGAGGCCTGAAGAAGAGTATGATTTACTCAACATTACCAGCTAATTAATGACCAACTTTTAATTAATGAGCCTCATCTCTAGAGGTTAGGATTTCAACATAGTATTTTTGGGAGACACAATTCAACTCATAACCACACTGCTCAAAAGAGATGAAAGGAGGCTTGTTTACATGCCTGGTTATTATGGACTGGATATCAGTGTGAATTGCACCTTTTTGGTTGGCTCCCTTCCTCGTCCCCCTCCTCTATTCTTCTCCTTGCTCCCCACTCTCTCTCTCCCTTCTCCTCCCCTCTCTTCTTCTTTTACATTTTAGTATTCCTAAAAAATATTCTTGAGCTTATATTGAATGCATTTAAGTGACTTGGAAGCAATTTGATCCTGTTGAATCTTGCTTTTAACATTTACCTGGGACCTAAACAGGACTCAGTCTAGAGCTGATTTTTCCCCACTGCTGAGGCAAGACTAGTGGCCCATGAACCACAGGGTTTTTCAGTCTGGCTGGTGGGACTGGCACTACTCCTGGTCCTCTGTGTGTTGTATATGCTCTTACCTCCATTATGTTAGGTGCCCTTGTGTACACATGCTGACCAGTACTCAGTTCACCACTGGAGGAGACTCTGCAGGCCTCTGGAGTCACCATGCACAGCTGTGTCTTCTCTAGGATCCCAACCTCCTTGGTTCCCCTGGACTCTCAGCTGTCTTCTCAGCCAGAGCATCTGCGAGTCTGCACTGGAGCCCACTGTCCCCGCACCATGGCCTACAAACCTCTCAAGACAATAAGCTGGGCAGTTGTAAACTAACTCCATGTTCTTCCTGTCTCTCAGGGATCATTATCCTGTTGACTGATGTCCAGTGTCTTAAATGAAAAACATTTCATAAATATTTTCTCCATTTTCTAGTTTCAGGTGAGAAGGTAAATCTGGTCCAAGTTACTGTATCTTGGCTGGCAGAAATCAACATAATGCATTTGCCATTCAGATGATTACTGTGGGTGTCAGTAATTCATGCCCTTTCTTTCTTCTTGCTGAGTGTATTGCACTGTATGGATGGATCAGTTTGCTTATCCATTCTTTATCCATGCACGGCTTGAAGAACCTTTGGCTTGTTTCCAGTTTAGGTTGATTATGAATTAAATCACTATAAACATTTATGTAAATGTTTTTAAATAAAGAAAAAGACAATTTTACATAAAAATCCAGACTTTACTTTCTCTTGAAAAATGGAAAGACCTCATCACACTGGGCTAACATTCTTGCAGGACAATGGGCTGGAACAGAGTAAAAGATGTCCCCTTCCCATGGAGCTTGCCAGTTGACACGGTCCCCACAATGCTCAAATGTACTGCCCCAGGCTTACTTCATGTATTTGCATAACCTGTAATCCTTGGCAACAAATGATTTTGAGACTCTAGATAAAATGTCATCTTTATGTAAACTGTATGTATCACTCAAATGGTGGAAAACAAAGAAAGTGATTTATTTAACTGGGGTTGCAGAATCAAAAAGGAAAGACAAAGCCTTGAAGGATGAGTAAAATGTCACCAAGCAGAGGATTTGGGAAGATGTCCCTCACTTCTGCTTGCAGTTGCTCAATTCAAATGGGTTCTTCCACCCCAGGCTGCCCATGGGCAGAGAGAGAGGCCGGTGTTATCCCTGGGGAAAGCTGGGCAGGTGTACCTTATTGGTAGATGGCTAGAGTCAGGTTGCAAATCTAAGGGCCTGTTCTCTCTGTGGGGACAGGACTCCATGTGCATTATTTAGGAGCCCTTCTGCAGATGGCACAGGCTGGCCACCCAGCCACTCAGGTGCCAGAACTACCACATCTTACCTGACTGCCACCCTCTCCAGGTTTCTACACTTTCAGACTACCTTTTGAAGTGAAAATCCCAGGGACTTTTCCTTCATCTGCTTTCCACAAATGCCCTTGCTCAAAGTAGTCCCAAACATTATAACATGCAATCTGTGCAAAGATGTTTATAGCAGCATTCTTCAGAACAGCCACACACTGCAAGCATCCCAATGCCCCACAACAGAGAAACCGTTAACCAAGCTACAGTCTATTTCATGTAATACCGATATGGCTGTTAAAATGATCATGATGGGAATTAATGGATGCCTGTAAACACACTTAATAAATCATGTTAAGTAAAAAACTAGAGCCCAAAATAATGTGTATATACTGCTTAAAGTTATATGATAATTCATGTACGCTGAAAAAGATTGGGTGAATTGAGTATAACAGAAATAGTCCATCATGTAAATCGATGGCATTTTTTTTTTCCTGAAATGTTTGAGTGTTTGATAGAAATTTAAAATCCTACTCCTGTGAAAGGAAGAAAGGGCAGGGGAGGGGAGGGGAGAGGTGGGGAGAAGGGGGAGGGGAGGGAAGGAAAAAGGAAAGGAGAAAGGAAGAAGAAGAAAAGAAAAAAATGAAATTAATTTTAAGCCCCTATCTGTTCACAGGTTCATACTGTAAACAACAAGTATTATCTATTAAATTTCATTTATTTAATGTTTACTCTTCAAGTATCAAAATGTCCTTTACATCTTTATTCATTTGCATATCCAGTTATTTGCATAACTGGACCTACCAGGGGCTGTAAAGTACAGGCTGGCTGGCTGTATTTTGTCCTATCAGACCTGAGTTCAAATTCCACTTGCTGGGTATGTGACCCTGAGTACTAATGCACCTTCTCCGTAAACTGGGACTTGCTCTCATTAGAGTATTGTGAAGATTACATGTTATGATGTAGCTAAAGTGTCCGACA